AGTTATAATGTGTATGCTGTAGGCCAGACGGCAGTGTTGCACACCTTTAATCCCAGCGCTTGGGAGGTGGGTCTCCATGAGTCTGAGGCCCAGCCTGGCCTATGGAGACAGTTTCAGGACAGCTTGAACTACACAGAGAAACTCTGTCTCAGAAAACCAACAAAGATTCTTTTAGAAAAAATTTTTAATTCTGAACATAACAAAAGCTAACAGTTACAGAACACTTATGAGGAAGATAATATTCTGACAAGATTCTGAGACCCAGGGAAGTTGCATAATTTTCTTAGTACATATTCCACACAAGAAAGGTCTCCGAAGGGCAGCTAATCTGGTCTTTCTCTATAATGCTCTGACTCCTGCGGCCCCACACAGAACTGAGAGTGATTTAAGGTCTTTGGTCAGTGAGGGAGTGTCACCTGGCATGTGTAAGTCCCCAGACCCAATGCCTTGCACTGCCAAAAACGAAATACAACTAGAAAAAGTGATTACAATTTTGTAGATGTAATTTTTGTTTATTTGTTTTATTTATTGTTTTTGGTTTTGGTTTATTGTTTTGCTTAGAGGCAGGGTCTCTCTGTATATTCTTGACTAGCCAGGAATTTGCAGTGTAGATCAAGCTGGCCTTGAACTCACAGGGATGCACCTGCCTCTGCCTCCCGAGTACTGGGATTAAAGGCGTGCGCTGCCATGCCCAATTAGTGTTTTGTCATCGTTTTGTTTTAGTTTGGTTTCTTTTTTTTGTTACAAGAATAATAGATGCTCATTATTTTAAAACTTGAAGCATTATAGAAAAGCAATATATCACTTGAAATAGCAAGTCCAGAAATTGACACATATTTAAATTGAAACAGATTGAAAGATAATTTTATAATAGGCCGTACCTCTTCACTTCTCCCTAGCCTTTCCTTTCAACTCTGGAGAGAGAAAAAGAAAGATAAAAAGTGAGTGGACACGCTGTCTAAAGGCAGGCATCAGTCACCCTGTAGAAAAGATCCGCTATCGTGTGTGTCTCTCATCTGCCCCACTACCTGGTGACTGTCCTCTCCACCATGAAGATGTCCCCAGCCTCTTCGTACTTCCCAAGAGAAGGGCTCATTAAGTTGCCCATACTGGTCTTGAAGTCTCTCTACAACCCAGGCAGAGCTTAGTTTTGGTCCTCCTGCCTCATCTCCAGAGCCGCTGAGATTACAGGCCGTCTGCCCCTTTGTGCTTTTTCCATTCTCCTTAGCAATACTTGCTGGAGCGTCTGTCCGGCCCCTTGATCCGCCCGCATACATCCCTCACTGGTCATGATAGCACTCGCGTGTTTGCAGCCTTTCCCCATAAAACTGCTTCCAGGAGGTAGGCTTTATGACAGAGTTAAGTATTTGGTAAACGAAGTTGAGTTGGTCTAAAAGCTCCTACTGGTTTAGGCTCTAATGAACATTATTGGTTGACATTATAAAGAAATGGAAGATAGTGGAATTTGAGGGACATGTCATAGAGCTGGGGTCTACGTCTTCCTCTTTAAATAACTACTTCTGTGCTGTAAGGAGGGTCACCAATAAGACAGCTTTAATTTGCACTTCTTGATGAGTAGAGAGACTGGAACTCTTCTTACTGTCATAGTTTCTCCTCGGTGATTTAGCTGTTTCTTTTCCCTTAGTTTATTTCTCAATTGATTTTGAGTTTTCTGTTTTTAGTCAAGAGGCAAAAATATGAATATTAACTAATATATATGTAAATGAGTATATATATTAAAGATAGGCTCTTACTGTATTGCCTAAGTTGGACTCCCACTCTTGAGTCTAAGTGGTTCTCCTGCCTCGGTCCCCAAGTAGGGGAACTACAGGTGAAGACCGCCATTCCCAGCTTATGGCACCTCTTTCAGTGTCTGCTAACTGACATTAAACATTTATGTCAAAACATTTTAATTTAGTCAGTTGTATTTGGTGTTTTCTTAAGGCATCTTGATTTCATTCTTTAAAGCACCTGCTTTGCCTCATAATAAATCATTTTTCTGTATTTTCTTTCTGTTATATATGGTTTTTAAATGCTTTTTAATTTTTTGTGTGTATGTCTATAAATATGCGTATGGGCATACATATGCTACCGTGTGTCTGTCTGTCTGTCTGTCTTGCTCTATTAAGTCAGAGGACAGTTTTCAGGAGTTGGTTCTCTCCCTTAACTACATAGGTCCTGGGGATAGAACCTCAGGTCATCAGGCTTGATGGCAAGGACCTTTACCCACTAAGCCAACATATTGTGCTTTTAAAAAATACTTAATTCTCTAGGACTGGTTAATGGCTCAGCAGGTGAAGGCACCTACCCCCAAGACTAATGGCTTGGGTTCAGTTCCAGGACTTACGTGGTAAGGGAAAAAAATCAATTCAAAATCAACTCCTACAAGCTGCCCTCTGACTTCCAGGCAAAGGATGGTGACACATCCATACGCACACGCACACACACGCACACACACAAATGCACAAAAATAAATTGATACTTGAATCTGGAGCGATGATTTTTCCCAAGGAAAACCATTCCTTTTTTTCTTTTTTTTTTTTATTCCTTTTGTGTCTACAGAATAGAAAAATAACCAAACAAGTAGAAACCAGAATAAATCAACCTTGTCAGGGGATTGGAATTCTGTTAGATTCGTGTATGTGTATTTACTTTTATTATTTTAATTAGGAAAAAAGCAAGACAATTCTGGACAACATGAGGAAGCTGGAAAAAGAAGTGTTTGAAGAGATGGAATCAGTCCTCCAAAACAAACATCTTGACATGGATAAAACTGTTAATCTCTTTCCTCAATGTGTAAAAGATGAAATTAAAATTTATCAGTCAAATATTAGCTCTTAATGATATATACGTGATCAAAATCTTCCCCATCGCCCTGATAAATGATACAAAGGTACTTTAAGGAGATCTGATCTTTTCTTTAAATACTAAGTGATATTCTGACTGTTAAAATCTCAGTAATTAGTATTCAGTTGCAAAAAGCACAAAATATTAACATGATACATAGGCTAGGTTTATTATATTCTATAGTGCCCTCCAGTAGTTTTCTCAGTTAAGAAAGCTTGGAGCTTCTTATTAAAAAAAAAAATAAAAGCAATGGAAAGTATGTCAAATGAGTTTTTGTGCTTTAGGCAAATAATAACCAGCCTTAGAAGAATTAGAAAACTGTCTTAAGTCTATGCCGCATCCCCTCAGAACTGTCTTTTTGTTCTCTGGGCAGTTTTCCTTTTGTAAGTTGGAATCTTACAGTCGTTAGTCTTTTCAGATTGGCTCCTTCAGCACAGCTTTTACCACGCCTCCGCTGTAATAGCTCATTTCTTAGCGCGGAATCTGCCTTTCTGTGGGGTGTGTCACCACTGAAGGGCATCTTGGTTGTTTCCAGACTTGGGCAATTGTGAGTAAAGTGTGCAAGTGGCTGTATGTTCTAAGTGTTCAACCCATTCAGGTTAAAGCCGAGGTAACTGCAGAGCCTACGGTGTGAGTGAGGAACCGCCAAGCTGTCTTCCAGATGCTGCATTTCCGCCCCCTCGAGCCCATTGCTCCTGTCCCAGCTGATTGTCAGTGTTTTGGAATTTGGTCATTCTAATATGTGTACGGTTTTTCACTTATTTAGGTAACAGGGATTGATCCTATGGCCTTGTACTTTCTTTTTCAGTTGAATTTGTAATTCCAAATGGTTATGATGCTGAGTTACATTCTGAATGCTAATTTCCATTTGTACATCTCTGATGGGTGTCTTGGTCTTGGCCCATTCTATAATCAGATGCTTCTCATTTATTTCTTTCACTTGGGAGTCTACACTTTTTTTTTTAGCCTTTAAAATTTTACTTTATATGTATGAGTGTTTTGTTCCATGTATGTCTGTGTACCAGGCACATGCCTGGTGTCATCCGAGGCTATGAGATCCTCTGCAACTGGAGTTTCAGATGGCTGTGAGCCGCCATGTGGGTGCTGGGGACCAAAGCCAGGTCCTCTGCAGGAACAAGCAGCAACGCTTCACCACGATCCACTCTCCAGCCCCTCCACCGCTCAAGTCTAAAACTCTTGAAGCTCACTGTTCTTAGGGTAAAGCCTCAACCCTTAACAATGCCAACAAGAGATACTGTTGGTTTTGTCTGCCCTTTTTATATATTATTGCACATTTGCTATTGATTTTTGTTTCAACGATGGTGGTCTTTCAGGTCCTTACATGTGCCCAGTTGCTCATTCCTTCCCTATGGCCGCACCCTCTGCTTGCTCCTCCCATTTCTGTGAGTAGTTCTCTTCATCCTTAGAGCTTGCTAACAAATGAGCTTCTTAGGATTATATGTGGCTCCAAATCAATCACACATTTAATTATTTCACAGGAAAAGTTCCACGAAGGCCCATTGTTCAATATTATGTTTGGATGCTTTGGTATTATATAATATTTATTAAAGGAACATTCAAATACTGGTGAAAAGAATGTATACAGACCTTTCTACAGAAATGTAAAGTTAGATAAATTAGCTAATTTATCTGTATAACGTGGTAGCCTTGTAAGTTTGAACCCTAGAAAAATTCAAGGATTATAAGGCTATATGAGTTGATGTATAGGAGATTTTTATTGTGTATATGCAACAGGATATTTGAGATGTGAGCGCTCATGTTGGTAATTAATGCCTTGTGTATTTTAGAAATTTTAGTATTTTCTTAAATTTCATCTGTTGTAAGAGTAAAAATAATAAACTTAGTTATTTTACATAAAATTGGCTTGTTTGATCTTTGATGAAAATATAAGCTTATATATTAATCTCTAATACATTTCCTTAAAAATAATTATACAGAGTAAAACTTTGGAAGCAGAGTTTCTTTTTGTAAAAGTATTGGTTGGCTGGGTTTTTTGAGACAGAGTTTCTCTGTGTAGCCTTGGTTGTCCTGGAACTCACTCTGTAGTCCAACCTGGGCTCAAACTCAGAGACCTGCCTGACTCTGCCTCCTGAGTGTTGGAATTAAAGGCATGTGCCATCACCGCCTGACTAGTTCTAAACAGAATTTTACAAAATACTTTTGCAGTGTTGGCCCACACCTTTAATCCTAGCACTCAGGAGGCAGAGGCAGCTGGATCTGTGAGTTCGAGGCCAGCCAGGTCTACAGAGCAAGTTCCAGGACAGTCAGGGCTGTACAGAGAAACCTGTCTTGATAAACAATAACAAAAATTAATTACTTCAGGTTTTTATTCAAACAACTGCAGAAATGTAAAGGCCACCTTCTCCTGAAGAGCACTTTATGATCTTGGACTCGGCTTCCGGTGTCACTCACCACCTGACCACTTCTAAAAGATGTCTACTGACAGCCTGCTTGCTCCAGCCTCCGCAGAGCCAGAAGGTCATGAGGCAGTCCCAGGAAACTCACTCTAGAAAGCACCGAGAGTTTACAGACAAGACTTGGGTGGTATGGTCAGCATTATTTGGATCATCCAAGGAAAAGATGTTGACAATGCCAGTTAAAATAATTATTTTATTGAGAAACGTGCTGTCAGTGAGAAAGGAACATACAAATATGTCCATCTAATAAAATTAGCTTATCCTTAATCCTAGAAACATCCCTCGAAGGCCTCCGTCATCTGAAACAGCAAATCATACTGACCTATGGTTTTCTTTTAGAGCCTCCCGTGAAAAATAATGTTTCAGATCCCATCTGTGCAAACAAAAGAGCAGACTTAATGTGCTCTTGTTTTATAATGATGTTTTTCTGCCTAAAACATCCTAATTCCATGATCATAACATAAGTAAGTATCATTTCTTTTTAAATACACTAGGCTTCCATGCAAGTTTTTTTTTTTTAATTATGCATTTGTTACATTAAAAGGGTCAGGGCACTAACCCCATAATTTTCTAGGTGGCTCTTGTATATGAAACACTATGAGATAAATAACATCTAAAATAAGTTAAACCATCACTGATATCTGTTAATCAAGTAGTTGTTCAAAGGCTGTGCAAAGTATCTGAAGGTAAAGCTTTATCTGAAGGTGTTATGTTCTGGCGTGGTGATCCTGGAGAAGAGTGTCTCCTGAGAGAAGAGGTGTTGAAATGGGATTTGCCCTTCTAAGGGTGGAGACCAGAGCCCTTCCCTCTCCCGTGGGCGGGTGGGTGCAGCACCATCTGTGAACCTGAACGAGGCCTCACTGGACGCTCAGTGTGCGACCTTGATCTAACACTGCCCAACCTCCAGGCCTGTAAGAAAGAGTTCCTCTTGCTTGTGGGCTATCTCACTGTAAGACTTCCTCTTGCTTGTGGGCTATCTCACTGTAAGACTTCCTCTTGCTTGTGGGCTATCTCACTGTAAGAAAGACTTCCTCTTGCTTGTGGGCTATCTCACTGTAAGAAAGACTTCCTCTTGCTTGTGGGCTATCTCACTGTAAGAAAGAGTTCCTCTTGCTTGTGGGCTATCTCACTGTAAGAAAGACTTCCTCTTGCTTGTGGGCTAGCTCATGTCTTTTTTTTTTTTTTTTTTTTAAGAGGCCTTAGTGGACTAAGCAACATTTGGTGTTTTTAGACAGGGACATATTAAAGACTAAATTATAAAGGTAGGATGCTAGAATTTTAAATTTCTGACTACACTTTTTCAGTTCAGGAAATAAAATGGATTTTTTTTTTTCTACAACAGGATACTCTGAAAGTCCCAGAAGTAGTATGCATCATGGCAATACTTTTGATAACATTTAAATCAAAATGCCCAAAGTAATTAAAATTTTAGCTTGAGAGCAGCTCCGGACCTGTGTGGTGTTTGTCCTTTGCTCTTGCTTCCCCTCCGTCCAGCCGCCATGATAAGAGCCAGCAGAGCCGTGGCCCCGCGTCTCGTGGGCCGCAGTCTCCCGGAGCCTGGCGGCCGCCCGTCACCAGGATGGCTGGAATGGACTTTGTCATGAGGCTTTTACTGTTTCAAGAAGGGATTATACATCAGAGGCACCTAAAGGTCCAGTTCTGGGTATTGATCTGGGTACTACCAACTCCAGTGTGGCGGTCATGGAGGGCAGACAAGCGAAGGTCCTGGAGAATGCTGAAGGTGACAGAGCTACGCCTTCTGTTGTTGCCTTTACGGCAGATGGAGGACGACTTGTTGGCCTGCCAGCAATGCGACAGGCTGTCACCAACCCAAAAAACACCTTCTATGCTACTAAGCGTCTGATTGGACGTCGCTATGATGACCCCGAAGTACAGAAAGATGCCAAAAATGTTCCCTTTAAGATTGTCCGTGCCTCTAATGGTGATGCCTGGGTTGAGGCTCATGGGAAACTCTATTGTCCTAGCCAGATAGGAGCATTTGTGTTGATGAAGATGAAAGAGACTGCGGAAACTTACTTGGGTCACACAGTAAAGAAGGCTGTGATCACAGTCCCTGCTTATTTCAATGACTCCCAGCGACAGGCCACTAAGGATGCTGGCCAGATAGCTGGGTTGAATGTACTTAGAGTGATTAGTGAACCCACAGCTGCTGCCATGGCCTATGGTCTGGACAAATCCGAAGATAAAGTCATTGCTATATATGATTTAGGTGGTGGAACCCTTGACGTTTCTATCCTGTGTATTACGGATGAAGTGTTTGAGGTGATATCCACCGATGGGGATGCTTCCTTAGGTGGTGAAGACTTTGACCAGGCTTTGTTACAGCACATTGTCAAGGAGTTCATGAGGGAGACAGGGATTGATTTGACCAAAGACAACGTGGCCCTTCAGAGGGTTCAGGAAGCTGCTGAGAATGCTAAGCGTGAACTCTCCAACTCTGTACAGACTGACATCAACTTGCCATTTCTTACAATGGATGCTTCTGGACCTAAGCATTTGAATATGAAGGTAACCCGCACTCAGTTTGAACACATCGTCACAGATCTGATCAAGAGAACTATTGCTCCATACCAGAAGGCAATGCAAGATGCAGAAGTCAGCAAGAGTGACATAAGAGAAGTGGTTCTGGCTGGGGGCATGACGAGGATGCCCAAGGTTCAGCAGACTGTGCAAGAGATTTTTGGCAGACTCCCAAGTAGAGCTGTGAATCCTGATGAGGCTGTAGCCATCGGAGCTGCCATTCGGGGAGGTGTGCTGGCTGGTGACGTCACAGGTGTGCTGCTCCTGGACGCCACTCCCCTCTCTCTGGGTACTGAGACTTGGGAGGTGTCTTTTCCACACTTATTAAGAGGAACGCCACAATTCCAGCCAGAAAGAGCCAGGTATTTTCTACCGCTGCTGATGGACAAACTCAAGTAGAGATTAAAGTGTATCAGGGAGAGCGAGAGATGGCTGCAGACAACAAACTTCTAGGACAGTTCTCCTTGGTTGGAATTCCCCCAGCCCCTCGTGGAGTCCCTCAAATTGAAGTTACATTTGACATTGATGCCAATGGTATTGTTCACGTTTCTGCCAAAGATAAAGGAACAGGACGTGAACAACGGATTGTGATCCAGTCTTCTGGTGGATTAAGCAAAGATGACATTGAACATACGATTAAAAATGCAGAGAAGTATGCTGAGCAAGACCGGAGAAAGAAGGAACATGTGGAAGCAGTTATCATGGCTGAAAGAATTATTCATGACACAGAAACCACGATGGAAGAATTCAAGGACCAGTTACCTGCTGAGGAGTGCAACAAGCTAAAGGAAGAGATTTCCCAAACGGGAGAACTGCTCGCTCAAAAGGACAGTGAAATGGGAGGAAACATTAGACAGGCAGCATCTTCACTGCAGCAGGCATCACTGAAGCTCTTTGAGATGGCATATAAAAAGATGGCATCTGAACGGGAAGGTTCTGGAAGTTCTGGTACTGGGGAACAGAGGGAAGACCAGGAGAAACAGTAACAGTGGCAAGGCATTGAGAGAGGCCAGAAGGACAACATGAAGCTTGGGCGTAAAGGGACGTCCTGAGCAGACGTTACTGTTTTAGCCGTAACCCATATAACTTCCTTAATAAATAAATGTAGTGATTATAAAAAAAATTTAGCTTGAAAGATTATAGAGATAATATCAATGTTCTTACTCTTCTCTTATTGGCACACATTAGTACTTTAGATAAAAGACAAAAGACAGAGCTTTAAAATTGGTATTTTATCAAAACTAAATTTAAAAATTACTTTAAAAAATAGTGGGATTAGCCAGGCATGGTGCACACACCAAGAGGCCCTGAACTCAGGAGGCAGAGGCAGGAAGATCAGAAGTTCAAAGCCATCCTTGGTGATGTAGTGAATTTGAGGCCAGCCTGACTACATGAGTTCTTAAAAACAAAACAGTAGTTTTAATTTTCAAATGGGTAGTATTTGTCACAGAAGTGGAAAGAAAAATAAAAGCTCTTACTAGAATAAATAGAAATTGGTTTGGGGAAAGTGTTATCGATAAATGTAAAGTTGCCTTAAGGTTCATTTTTAGAGCAGCAAACCTGCCAGATTTGGCAATTTAAAAATAACAGTCAGTTGAATACTGACTTTGAAATTATAGCGAACATTTGCAGAAGGAGAAGATGTTAAAGTATTGGAACAGTGGCGCCCATAGCGATCAGCGCACCGTTACCAGAACGTCTGGCTCCAGGCTGGTTCGGGCCGCTTTCCCATGTGCTCTTCCCGCACATGAGGTCATAGCACGTCAGGACAGGGTAGGAATGCATTTGCCACTCACAGGAGAGAGGACAGAGGCTCCGAAAGGTAACCTGCCTCGGATCCCACAGCTAAAAGTCCCAGATGTGAGACTAGAGGGTACGAGTCCAAGTGGGGTTCTCGCCTTTGTAATTTAAGTCTTAGGGGAAAGTGAGGCTGGAGACGAGTGGCCGATTTCTTTATAGCTTTCCTGTTGCGGGGTGCTTACGGTCACAGCAGGAGGGCTCTGTTCAGGACTCTTCTGAAGAAATCTGTAAAACAGATACTCATCCCGGAACTCGTATTCATTGGTGATGTGTTGGATGACTCCGCCCTGCACCAGTCTGTCTCCGTAGATCACAGCCTCACCGCGGTCAGAGGCAAGGCCCACTTCAATTAGCCAGTTCACCAGGTCACAGCCACAGAAGGTCCCAGCAGAGGACTTTGCACCACACCTGTATGTCAAAGGAATGATTCAGCCGTATGTTCTCTGACTCTTGTATCAGCACTGTGCGACGGAAGACGAGCAAAGGAAAACAAAAAGGAAGTGAGGAAGACAGCATGACAGTTAGAAGCGTGACAGAAACGGAAGTGTTCAGTGTTCTAAACGTGGAGGAGCCGCTACCTTTCCTGGTCCCGGTGAAAGATAAAATAAGCCAGTAATGCTTGGGAAAACAAACACCTCTTAAAAATGACACAGATAAGTGTACTGCCTGAGAGAAATTCTCTCTGGAGGGGAGTACATGTGTATGTGTGGCATGTCCCTGTGTTTATGCATGTTTGAATGTAGTGTGTGTGGGGTGCACATACATACATACAGTCAAAGCCTGAATTTGACTGGGTGGCTTTGATTCCTCCTTATTTTATTTATGGAGGCAGGGTCTCTTACTGAACCTGGAGCTCACCCAGTCCAGCTGGTTAGTTGGCCAGATGGCCCCAGACTGACGCCCTGCCGCTGTCTACCTACTGCTGGGATTACAGGCAGGACCACCGCACAGGCCCACCACCACACCTGCCCAGCTTCTATGTGGGCTTTGGGGTCCCAAATCCAGTCTTCATGCTTGTGAGATAAGCACTTTGTCTACTGAGCCATATTCCTAGCCCCCAAACAGAAGTTTGTTTTTTTGTGAAAACTTTAATTTTCAAGAACGTAAACAGCTGTGTAAGGTATGTGGATACTATATTGAGCAGTGTACATTAAAACAATTTTTGACAATAGTCTTAAATTTTTTTCTATGTGTATGGAGGTTTTACCTGTATTTATGTCTGGTGGGCACCATGTTCATGCAGTACCCGAGGCCAGAAGAGGGCATCAGATCCCTTGGAACTGGAGTGAACAGATGGTTATTGGCCATCACGTGGTTACTGGGAATCAAATCTGGAAGAGTAGTCAGCACTCTTAACCACTGAGCCATCTCTCTAACCCCCAAGACGTATCTTTTAATAGCAGCAAGGCCTGTGTGTGCGCATTATGTGCACTTGTGTGCATGTAATGTGTACACACACACGCAGGTGGAGGTCTGAGGTCAGTGTGTACGTCTTTCCTCGAGTGCTCGCCACCTTGACTGGGACACAGTCTCACTGAGCCTAAAGCTCGACGATTCGGCTGCTCTGTCTCCCCACCCCCCAGGCCTGAGGTGACAGGTGTGAAAGATGCAACTCAGGTTCTTGTGCTTGCAACAGTAGGCACTTTCCTGACTGAGCCTCAGCTCCCCGTGTGGCCTGTCAATGTCTTACAGATGACTAGTATATAGCTGACTTCATAGTTGTGTCTGTGATACATGCCTGTGGCCCAAGCACCCGAGGGGCTGGGGTAGCAGAATCGGGTTTGGGTACAGGTGACATGAGGAGACTCTGTCCAAAAAACAAAAGGAAAACTTTTTCTTTTCTATTAACCTACTGAAATCAAACTTCATGTTCAGCTCATAGTACCCACAGCCTCTTTCCCTCAGCAGCCAGTACAGTCATTTGCTTCACTAGGTATTGGAGCAAACAAGTGAGAGCTGTCCCATGGCAAACCTGAGATTTTGGAAGTATGCTTTGGGCTGGGGAGATGGCCCGGTGGTTAGGAGTACTCAGTGTTCTTCCAGGGGACCCAGTTCAATTCTCCACATCTGCATCAGGCAGCTCAGAACCGCCTGTAGCTCCAGCAACAGGGCATCTGACCCTCTTCTGGCCTCCACGGGCAATCACACACGCGCACAGTTATAAGATAATAAAAAATCAAGCTTCTTTAGGAAGCGTGCTTTGATTTTTATTTGCTTCTGGATTGTTTAATATTTGTCTTCCTAATGCAAATGGGGGTTGCTTACGTATGAGCAGATAAAGAGAAAGAAATGCAAAACAAGAGGACCAATTACATGAATTACGAACATTTTCCTACAAATGTGCACTAGACAGCAAGAACCTCCACAAGCATCAATCAAGCTGTGAAATCCAGAGTGCTCGACAACAGGAAATGGGGGTGAGGAGCAAGATGAAATGACAAATAGGTGTCACAGACTTTAAAGCATACACAGTTTCACATGTAAGAATTAGAAAAAAGTTAATAACAGAATTTTTCTCAAATACCTAAACTATCAACGTTAGAGTGACTGTCTGGGTCTTTCTAACGTAGAGATGGACTTTCTGTCCCAGTCACTAGCTGAAGGCATCTGCTTCTTGATTGCAGTGATCAGGTGGCTGTCACAAGAGCCTATGCGATAGGACAGCGTGTCAGAGAATGGGATCTGGGACAGGCTGCAGATCCTGGAAAGGAGCAGGAATCAGCTGGTTCCTACCAGCTGGTGCCCATTCAGCCATCTGGGACCTGGTAGCTCAGCAAATGCTAAGAGTTCTGCTTCCTGGCAGTTGGCAAGCACAGTAACTTGGCAGATACTGCGAATTTTCTTAAAAGAAAATTTTAAAGCGATGTTAAGCTGTTCTGACTATCCGCAGGCTGTACCCTGAAGCTGTGCTCAGCCTTCCAAGGTAGAAAAGTCACTTTTCTCCAGTTTATCATTGACAGTGAGTGGGCAAGGCTCATCACAGACACTGGGCCATCAAAGTAAGCTTTTTCCTGTATGGTTTATTATTTTACGTATGTGAGTGTTTTGTCTGCATGTATGTGGGTGTACCACGTGCATGCCTGGTGCCCAAAGAGGCCAAAAGAGGGAGTCAGATCCCCTGAACTGGAGTGACAGAAGGTTGTGAGCCACCATTGGATGGTGACCTAACTGGGTCACTGAAAGGACAAGGGCTTTCAATTGAGCCAGGTTGAACAGGGTGGCCCAGTACTTAGAAACGAGCCGTCCTGAATACCAACCTCCAAACTTTTAGACATGCACCTAGAGGTGTTAGGTTTTTTTATTTTTTGCTTTGTTTTACTTCCTCTTTCACGACCACTAAAACTATCGGCACTGTTACATTTGATTATCATAGTTTATCGTTTCCGGCTGCAGCTTGCTCTAGATCTTCGGGATTAGGGGAATAAATAAAATGCCATGTAATAGCAACAGGACTGGAGGTGAAATAAATATCAGAGAATAAATTAAGAGGCAGGAATTTCACTTCATTCTCTTGACAGCATCGTTAGTAATATGAAGTGACATTAGCTCTAGGAGATGAGAATAGAAAATCCCTTCTAAATCTAGTGTTTTCCACTGCGCTATGAGAGACACTAAAGGCCAACATGAAGAGAATGCTCACCCTCTACCACACCGGATCCTTTTTATATAGGAACCAGAAGCTACCTGACATGAAACATAAAAATAAAAATGATATGACATTTTTATACCTTATTCCTTAAACTATAAACTCACCCACAACAGTTAGCTTGTTAGAACCTGATGTTAATAATCTGTTATCTACGCTTCTGAACCCTGTGCCGGCTTTACCTTCTTTCTCTGACGATGTTTCGGATGCACAGGTCACGGTGGTAATGTACGAACTGTTGACAGGTCATTTTGATTTCTTCGGAAACAGGGGACTCTCTGTTTTCTGCCGCTTCCTTATTGGTCCACAGGAATTCAAGCCTGAAAACCAAAATTCAAGCAGGCTGTTTCTTAGGGAAAGAAGACAAGCGTGAGAAGATCCAGCCTGTCTCACCAGGTGGATATTCCAGACCAGTCACCAAAACTCTGTTACCAACACCCAGATGGCATTAATCTCTGAACCAGAAATGCCCGTGTCCTACATCTGCTCTTTGAGCAGGCTGGGGTGGGGAGCGATCCACTTCCTACTCTCTCCAGACATGTTTGACCCACTTCAGTTTCTACTAAGACATTCCTTCTGTTTGCACAGACAACTTAGACACCAAGCCGGATGTCTCAGACTGCCTCAGAAACTAAAACCAAAACTAAACGAACCAAGGTAACTCATGAATTACGCATTTTATTGCACCATTTCCAACATTAGTAGCACAGAAACAAATGCCAGGATCTGGAGTATAAAGCAGTCCATTCTGTCTATCCAGGCAATACAGCTGTTGACAATTGCCTTGGCCGGCATTATGAAGCTGGCA